CCCCCTGGGAGGGTGATTTCTCACTTTCTGTCTGTCTCTCTGTTTCTCTGGCAAGCACACATGCCCTATAGCAGAAAATTTCTCAAAAAAAAAAAAAAAAACCACAAAGAAGAAAAAATGCATTTGTAGTGGTGTACTCTTTTCCAATATATTCACTGAAAAAAATTATGTGTAAGTAGATGCACATATTTCAAACTCACGATTTTTAAGAGTCAGCTGTGGAACCTGCAGTTAGCCTAATCTATGTCACTGTACTCCCATGTAGCCAACCACGGTTCAAGTCCCAGACCTGTTGGCTTAAACTCACACCGGGCGCATGTGCATGTGTGCCCAAGATCCCGAGAGGAGAATGGAGAAGGAATTGTGGTGTGGCCATCCCCCTTGGGGGGGGAGGTGATTTCTCACTTTCTGTGTCTCTGTCTCTCTGTCTTTCTGGCAAGCGCAAATGCCGTATAGCAAAAAACCCCTCAAAAAAAAAAAAAAAAAAAGAGTCAGCTGTGTTTCCTTTTTCAGCATTCACAAGTATTTATTTTATAATCCGTATTTTTTAACACAATACAATGTGAATTTTACTAATAATGGTTTTTCTGAATGGTGAAAATACAAGATGATTTATTTCTTTGTATTCCTTGATGTTTATTATTCGTTGAACTAAAACAACTTTATTGAACAACTCACTATTTGTCATGTTATGCTGAGCCAACCAGATGCAAGGTTTTTTAAGCTATAATTTGGTTTGTTGGTACTGAATAGTGGTTCATATTTTGACCATGATAAGTAAAATCAAGATCAGTTTCCTAATTAATTAAGCTTCCTTTGAGAGAGGGGATTTTTTGGTTTGTTTGTTTTGGATTTAGCCATAGGGTTCATGTACTTGCTAGAGAGAGACAGAGAAAGACAGAAGTAAAGTAAGAAATCACCGCTAGGTCTAGGTTTTGAGCCTAGTTGGCCATGTGGGATCCAGTACCTTAACCTTAACCTCCACACCACCTGCTGGCCCCATGGATCGTTTTAAACTGGCAGATTTAAGTGGTATTGTAGCATTGTATTAGCATACATATGTTAAAATTATTATATCGTTAATCTAGTTGATATTTACTATATTTGCCATATGAATTCTTTAGATCTTATATAGTATAAAAGTGATGGAATTCAAACATAAGAAACTCTTCTGTCCCAGCCAACGTGCCGAGTGTATTGGACTATAGTGCTGTGGGCAACCACTGATTCATATCCTTGGGTTGTCTTAAAAAACACTCGTGGTGCTCAAGGTCTTGAGCTGGAGGGCTGAGGAAAGGGGATAATAGACCCTGTCTTTTTTTTTTTTTAATTTTTAAATTTAATTTATTGGGGTTTTTTTTTGGGGGGGGGGGTTTAAATTTGAGTAGAGAGAAAAAGAGAGGGGATGTGAGAAAGTGGGCTGCCAGGTCCAGAACTCAAACTGTGGTCAACCATGTGGGATTCCAGTGCCTTAACCACCACACCACCTGCCAGCTCGTGATAGACCCTGTTGAGAGTACTTTTCTCTCTCTCTCTCTCTCTCTCTCTTCATTTCTCTTGTACACACCCATTCTCTTACCATTTAAGAGAGAAAGAAAGAAAAAAAGAGAAAATATCTTTTAGTAGATGAAAAATATTTTTGTTTTTGTTTCTTAGGTTAAGAGCAGGATTATGTGATCGCTGTGCAGTAACAGAAGAACATATGCGGAAAAAGCAGCAGGAGTTTGAAAATATCCGGCAGCAGAATCTTAAACTTATTACAGAACTTAGTGAGTTTCCTTACTTCCTTCATTAAATATTTTAAAAATAATGTACCACTGTTAAAAATCTATTAGTAAATTACTCATAATCAGATGGGTTGTTCACATGTATTTTTCCTTATTAAGGTAAAAATTCATATGTTGTTTTTCACTTTTTTTGTAGATTTAATTTCATGCTTATTTTAATAAGAAACAGGGTACAATAAGATTATGCAAATACTGTTCATATTGGCCTTAAAGTCTCTCCAGTTCTAAGGCAAGGTACAAATTTCCTCTGGAAAATGTTCTGATTTACTTTTTGGTTTTATCTTTATTTCATGTAATTTGACTTCTTAGTCATAAATAAAACAACCCAGCCATTGGCATAATGGCTATGTCACTGAACTCCCATGCCGTTGACTATGGTTCAAGTCCCAGCCTCAGTGGCTTAAACTCACACCAGGCCCTGTGCGTGCATGCCCAAGATCCTGAGAGGAGAATAGAGGAGAAGGGATTGTGGCATGGCCATCACACGCCCTGGGGTGATTTCTTGCTTTCTGTCTCTCTATCTTTCTGTTTTTCTGGTGAGCACATGCGCCCTATAGCAAAAATCTCTCCAAATGTGTATATGTATGTGTGTGTGTGTGTGTGTGTGTGTGTATGTGTATATACACACACATATATATATATTGCTACCACCCCAGAATTCAGAATTCCTTTTTTCCTTTTTTTTAGATTTATTTTTTAATTCCATTTGTTATTGTTTTTTAATTTGACAGAGACAAAGAAAGGGAAAGGGAGAAAGCAAGTCACTAGCTCCAGGACTTAAACCATGGTCAGCCATGTGGAAATCCAGTGCCTTTAACCACTATTCCACCTGCAGGCCCCAGAATTCCTTGATTTTTATGCCACTTTTTTCTCTCTAGCCTGCCTTTTTCCCTTCCCAGTGTATCTCAATTTTGTCTATGTACTCATTTGTTGTAATCACTTCTAGTGTGTTTATTTTGAGAATTTCATATTTTATATCTTTAAACATTTAATTACTCTATGAGATAACTATTACCTGAAATACATGGGAATCTATGAGTTATCTTCTGCCAACTCTAGTGGTAAGTAAATTAGGATCCCTTTATTCCATTTCAGGTGTTCAGGCTTAAACTAGAGAGCTCAGATTTAGTCCCTCCCCCTAATTGCAGTGCTGATACCATTATCTGCTTACTAACACTGCTTGGGTTGAAGCTAACAGTTCTGGTTAGTTTTTATTGTTTGTGGTGGTAATATGGGAGTCCCTTGGATTTCTCTTCCTGTGAGCTTAGCAATTTGATAAAAATTAAGTTTTTATACAGGATCTAGGTGTTTTGTATTAAGACAACTATTTGAATACCTAATCCACTCTACCACCCTCAAGAGTTTGCTTAGCCCAGGGAGGTTGTTTCTGTTATTTTTCTATTTCCTCCTTTCTGGTCTCTCATTAGGAAGATACTGCATCCTTCATGCTGCCTAAGTTTTATTCTTCGTAAATGTGCTCTTTTCTCATGAATTCTAGAAGAATCACTTAGGAAATTGTAATTCTGTCATCTGTCACTTTATTTGCTTTCATCCCATATATTAAGTTTTTAATTTTGATGGTCTTTCTTTATCATGGCAGGATTTTTTTTTCAATGGATCCATAGATCTTTGAAATCTTTCTAATATAGTTATCTAATATCTAATAACTGATATCTTTACTATATTAAAACTATTTACCCAAAAATAGATTTTTCTTTTTGATTAGTTTTAAATTTAAATGAAAAAACTATTAGTTTTTTTCCAAGTATTTACTGTCTCTTCATTGTCTTTCTGTATTTATACATGTCTTTTAAATTGATTGGTTTTTATTAAATACAGTCTTAACCTAAGGGACAGTCCCTACTTTGCTAATAATCCAAGTTCTGGTTTATAAGAGCCTTACTCCAGTGGCTGAGAGGAGGAAGAGAGCATACTTGGCAGAAGAGATTTTCTGTAGGATATGTGGGGTAGTTTGTCTTCTGGGTGGGAAGGTGCCTTCTCTAGAGTTTTCTGTGAGTTGCTTAGGAGCACTGCTCTGATGTCCTTGTCTTAATATTTTTCTTAAATTTATTCCTTTTATGAGCAAGAGAGACAAAGACAGAACTCCCCCTCCCTCAACAGGCTCTTGATGGCATGATCCATCTTCAGTTTTACCCAGTCCTGGATAATGAGAACATCTCACGGGCCCACCTCATGGGCCCACCTCACAGACATGTGTGAGCCTGGTGTACTCAGGATAGTCTTTGGATATAAACCCAGAACCTTTCATGTGGGTCATCTTTGCAGAATATTGCATTTTACTGCTGCCTCACATCTCAGTATTTATTAACAGACTCTGGCAAAACTTTAGCCTCAGAAAAACTGTTCTCAACCCTTTATTTACCTATTCATTAGTTTCTGTTCCTTGCTACCTCTGATATTGGAATTGACGTGAGGATTTACTGGGGGGAAAATTTTTAAAGCCTTTTTTTTGTTTGGATTTTACCATAAGTCTGAGCCAATCTACTTTTAATGATACAGTATTTTTTTCTTAGTTCTGATCTGCTATTGGCACCCTTTCTGGCTTTCATTATTACCGTAGACTTACTTTTAGAGTTATTTTGTCATTTCATTTGGAGTTGGAAAGGGAAAGTCAAGTAATTTATGTCTTAATCAGAAACCTGAGGTCGTCTTTCACTTTGTCATCTCTGCAAAGGATGAATTGCCAAATACTACTGCCACTATAACTATTCTCCTGTCTGTCCTTACTTCTTGTTTCTGTACCTCCCCCATTAGTTCAAATACTTATTTCTTTTAATGATTACCTGACCTGTGATCTTGTTGCTATTTCTCACCTTTATATATGTTATAAATACTAACTGATCAACCTTCCCATCACTCATCACTGAAAAATGATAGCTCATAATCTTTAAGGTAAAGTTTTTGTTTCTTAGCCTGATAATAAAACTTTCTACTAGGACCAGCAGTTAGTGTAATGCCTATGTCACTGAACTCCCATGTAGTCAACCGCAGTTCGAGTCCTGGACCCGGTGGCTTAAACTCATGCAGAGCGCGTGTGCATACATGCCCAAGATCCCTAGAGGAGAATGGAGGAGAAGGGATTGTGGTGTGGCCATCCCCTCTGGAGGGTGATTTCTCGCTTTCTGTCTCTCTGTCTGTCTCTGTCTTTCTGGCGAGTGCATGTGCCCTATAGCAAAAACCTCTCAAAAAAAAAAAAAAGCAAAAATCTTTCTACTACTTACCATATATAGCCAGACTTCCTTTGTTTCACTCATTTTCTGCATAGAGTGGTCACCTGTTCCAGCTCAGCTCAGTTGTCCTGTCTTTGATGAATCTTTACCTGATCATTGTAAGAGCCCGGAATAACCTTTTTCTCCTTAGAAATTTTTTTATTTCTATTCTCTAATGTCCTGTCACTTCTAGTCATATAAAACAGGTTTATGTAATATCTTGTCTCTTCTATTAGAGGTTTTACTTTCCTTTATGTTATTATTCATATAAAAAATTTTTTTAGTTCCTCCACAGAACATAGTTTAATAACCTTATGTATTATAGATAGTCTAAAATATTTTTTAGTAAATATAAGAAAATATGTTTAGGGGCTTGCAGGTAACATGATGGTTAAAGGCGCTGGATTCCCACATGGTCAATCACGGTTCAAGTACCAAACCTAGCAGCTTGCTTTCTCCCTTTCCTTATCTCTGGTCAGATTAAAATATCACAATAACAAATGGAATTAATTGAATATTTTTTTAAGAAAAGAAAGAAAATATATTTAGATTTATATACCGCTAAGTTATTAAGAACTTTTCAGAATATGATTAACTTCTTTGGTAGAGGTTAATTATTATTTACTATGACTTCATTTCTTGGATCTACTCTTTTTAGTAAAATGCATGCCTTACTAGTGATGTAATATTAAGCATTGATGAGCTTTGTGCTGCCTTTGGTGGAAATCACAGCCCAAAATTGACTATTTGCTTTATAAAGTAAATAAGGATGAATAGGAAAATTTATTAGAGTAAGTTCAAGCTAATAGATACTACTTTGACACATATATTTGAATTACTGATACCATAATTATTCATGAAATATAGAGTATGACTGTGGAAGAAAATTTGACTCAATAAATGTGCTTATCTTATTAAAAATACTGATATTGTTATATTGTTTTATGATCAATTTATTTTAAGGTAAGTTACTCTTACTGAGTGGTAATTGAAATTAGTAAGACTGAGTAACCAGATGGAATGCTTTTTTTGTCCTCAGTATGAATAATTAGATAATACTCCCTAGTACATGAAGTATTTTAGTTTTTTTGCCCACAGCATTGCATAAATTTATTAGTTAATCAGTTACATGAGCTGGTACAGTGTGAGATGTAGTAATCATTACTTAGTAATAAATTAGTTTTGCACAGTAGTGTTAACCTTGAATAATATTATGACTTAGAATTACTGAGTCGTCGGGAAAGTTGCAACATATTTTTGCATGGAAAAACATAGGAAAATGTCATGACTTTCCCGATGACCTAATAGAAAACCTAATCATCTTCATAAATGGTAACATGTTATATTTTAAAAGCCTGACATAGATGTTAATATAACTATATTATGTGCCCTCTTTTTACATTGGTTTTAAGTGAATGAAAAGAATACTCTCCAGGAAGAAAATAAAAAACTTTCTGAACAACTGCAGCAGAAAATTGAGTAAGTATTTTTCCTAAATTGCCACAGAAAATAGAGTATTTTCCCCCAAGTTTTCTTTCTGTTTTCATTTATCTAGATAAACTGGCAATACCTTAAGAGCTGCAGATTTTATTTTTGAAAATTATGAAGTGTTCTGCAATAAAAAATCCAGACAGCTAGCCAGCTGGTATGATGGTTAAGGCAGCTGGATCTCACATGGCCAAGTCCTGAACCTAGTGACTTAAAAAACACACTGAGGGGGTGCCTGTGCATGTGTGCCTAAAAAGAATATTGGAGGAGAAGGAATTGTGGTATTATCATCCCCCTGGGGGGTTCTTCTCATTTTCTCTTTCTCTCTCTCTTTCTTGTAAATGCACATGCCTTATAGATCTTTTTTTTTAAAAGAATCTAAAGAAAATCAGTCTATTTTTGTTTTGAAAGTGTATATGAAGATTATGTATATGTCTTAGGTTATGGTATAAGTTTTTGAATGTTTAGAGAAAGTATCAACATTTTAATTAAAGCATTTTAATCTATACAATGATTTGTAAATGATAGAGAAATAATTAAAATATATTTTTATATTTCAAATAAATATATATATTTCAAATAAATGTTTTAATTTTTAAAATTTTTTCTCTTACCCTGTCCCAGAAGCTTTATAAAGCAAACTGAATAAATATTTCCTCTTATACTGTTCCTTTACTTGCCTTTCTTTTTAAGACATTTTTTTAATTGGCCAGAGGTCATGTGTACTTACAGTGGTTGAGGAAGAGAGAAAGCATCCCTCCAATGGGTAAGGTTTTACCACAATCTCTTTTCCTCCATTCCTCCATCCCATCAGTGTTCTGGGCACATACACACTTGCCTGGTGTGGTGTGTTTTTCAAGTCTCTTTTGGGGATTTGAACCATAGATGGTTCAATTACAGATGGCTATTTGGGATCCAGTGCTCTCTATACACAGTGCTTAATTGCTATACTACAAGAATGGCCCTATCCCCCACCCTCTTGGTTTTTAAGGGAGAGAAGAGGGGGTTTTTACTATAGAGAAAGAGACAGAAAGTGAGAAATCACCCCCTGGGGGGGATGACCACGCCGCAATCCCTTTCCTCCATTTACCTCTTGGGATTTTGGGGCATTCTCGCACACACGGCCAGCACGAGTTTTAAGCCGCTAGGTCCAGAACTCAAACTACAGTTAACTACATGGGAGTCCAGTGATGCAACCATTATACCATCTGCTGATCCTGCCCCCTTTGCTCTTAAAGAATAAATTTAATAACTTTTTTCCCTATGTCAGTTGTTCTTTTATGTGTTTTATGTTTATTATTTCTAATCTTCATTGTAATGCTTCAAAGTATTGGGTCATCAGAAAACTCATGACACAGGGCCAATGGTGGCATAGTGGTTCAGGCCCTAGACTCCCACATGGTCAACCACAGTTCAAGTCCTGGACCCGGTAGCTTGAAACTCATGCTAGATGCTTGTGCATGTTTGACCAAAATCCTACAAGAAAAATGGAGTAAAAGGGATTTCTGCGTGACCATCCCCCCTGGGGGTGGTTTCTCACTTTCTCTCTCTCTGCCTTTCTCTGTGTCTCTGGCAAGTACCCTATAGCAAAAAAGAAAAATAATCTTTATTCAAAAAGAAAAGTCATGACACATTTTTGCATAGAAAAATATGGCATGACTTTCTTGAAGACCTAATTATTATCCCTACTAATTTTATTATCCCTGCTTTATAAATGGCAAAAACAACCTCACAAAGTCAAATAACTTGCCTGTAGTCTCATAGCCAATAGATAATAAAACCATCATTCAGATCTATATCTTCTGATTTAAAAGCCTCAATTCTTTCCATTATGCAACAATGTCTCAAAAAGTAATATTTGGGACCAACAGCGTAATGGCTATGTCACTGGACTCCCACATAGTTGACCGCGGTTCGAGTCCTGGATCCGGTAGCTTAAACTCACATCGGGCATGTGTGCGTGCGTGCCCAAGATCCCGAGAGGAGAATGGAGGAGAAGGGATTGTGGCGTGGCCATGTATAAACATGTTTCATAGGTGGAATTAACATTCTTATCAGTGTACTTTGAGGAAATGGGTATCTAATAGAATTTAGTATTCTTCCCATGTGATTAGTCCACTGAATACTGATATCCAAAGAGAACTTTGAGGAGGCTTAATAGTCAGATAAGCAAAGGAGGCTATGGGATCACACTGAGATTATAAAATATGCATATGAAAATGTCAACGCGTTCTAATTTTACTCATGTTTTATAATGAAGAGAGGTTAGGACACAGATCCATAATCTTTTATGTACGATTCCAAAACCCAGAAGTTTTTCTTCTAAAATGTTTAGAAGCCAACCTCACCTGAACTGACAAAAATGTGATTTATAGTCTCGATGTATCCTACTTCATGTGAGTAATCATATGTTTTGCTATGAAAATGTGTTTCATTATAGGATAATGCCTCAGACTCCACTGGGGGTATATATAATAATGTAAATATGTTCTGTGTTACCTTTCACTTAAAAAAATAAAATCTAAATCTTGTTTGGTTTCAAGGATTCCAGATAAAATTTACATACATTAATTTATATTACATAATAGCACATGTAGCTTATGATATTTTGAACACGTAGGCTTTAATATTTATGAATTCCAAAGATAAATAAGAAACTAAGTACATAACAGTTAATACAGAATTGGATAGATCACTACCTCAAAAGCCATGGTGTATGGTATATTGAAACTTGATTGTTGTACATTTGGTAGAAATATGAAATCTAGGGACCAGCAGTTGGTGTAATAGCTATGTTGCTGGACTCCCATATAGTCAACTGCGGTTCTAGTCCTGGACCTGGTGGCTTAAACTCAAGCCAGGTGCTTGTGCGTGTGTACCCAAGATCCTGAGAGGAGAATAAAGAAGGGATTGTGGCATGGCTATCCCCCCGGGGGATGATTTCTCACTTTCTGTCTATCTCTGTCTGTCTTTCTGTCGAGCACATGTGCCCAATAGCAAAAACCTCTCCAAGAAAAAAAAAAAAAAAAAGAAAGAAATATAAAATTAATTAATTAAGAATTTATTTTTAATGTTCTCAAATATACAGATTCTTCCTGTTGAAGCTCATTGACATTTTGGGAAAGAAGTAAAGGCTAAAACTGAAAATAGTGGGCCAGCTGGTGACAAGGTGGTTAAGGTGCCTGGTTCCCACATGGCCAGTTGTAGTTCAAATCCTGCTCTGTGTGTGTGTGTATGTGTGTGTGTGTGCATGCACGTGCCCCAAATCACCAGAGGAAAATGGAGGAGAATGTTGCCATTCCTCTGGAGAGGAATGCTATCTCACTTTCTGTTTATCTCTCTCTTTCTAGTTAGTACATATGCCCTATAGCAAATTTTTCTAAAACAATCAGAACTTGGGAATTATAGTATCCACTTATCAATCATAAAGTGAGCTCAGGGCATATATGTTTGTTTAAGACATGCTTAGCCAGGCAACTTATTGCATCTTGAAGGTCTCTTGAAATTTAAGATAGTAGTAGTAGTTCTTATGAGTCACCTTTTGTAGTTTGTTCTCCTCAAAAAACTATCTTCTTGCTTGACATTCTTTTAAATATAGCATCTAGGGCCAGCTCTACAGCACAGTGGTTAAGTGCTTTTTCAAGGGGACCCTGATCCTATATGGCCAACCACAGTTCAAATCCTAGCCCCAGTGTGAAAAATTCTGATAACATGTTCTTCTGTGCCCATTACAGAATGGAGAAATGGAGAAAAAAGATTGCAGCATAACCAAAGATTGCAGCAAAGAACTCTGGGGAGTTCTTTCTCTGTCTCTGTTTCTGTGATGAGTGCATACCAATTAAGTTAAATTGATGGGGCTGGCAGGTAGCATGGTGGTTAAGGCTCTGGACTCCCACATGGCCAACCATAGTTCCAGTCACAGACCGTCAGTTTGCTTTCTCACTTTCTCTCTGTCTGTCTCTCTCTGGCCAAATTTTAAAATTATAATAATAAAAAATTAAATAAATAGTGTTTTAAAAAATAAATTATATTGGTAATTAATTAATTGGCAATTAAATCAATACATAAAATAGCAAGTGTCATCTGTTAAAGGCAACCTAGTTTTCTCTATCTAATTACATTAATGTTATGCTATTAGTACCTGAAATAGTCCTGAACTGTAAAAGAAATATTTGACTTATACTTCTGTTTGTTAAATACAGTGAATCTAACTTACCTGGGCTGTTTTTTATATTATAGAAGACTTACACGATAGGACAATTATTTAGTGACATTATAGTAAAAAATAATTCAGTATAAATTTACCATTGTAAAGTTTAAACTACACACACAATCAACTCTGTCACTCATCACAGAAAGCACACAATAAGCTGGGTATTGAGGTCATTGCTTTGTTTTGGGAAATTGTTTTAGGTCAGTGAAAGTAAAGAAATCTCTACACTTAAGATCTCAAAGGATGAACAACTTATTTCATTCAGCCACCTTTTTGAAGTTGAGTTCCTTGTTCTTCTTTAACAAATAGCCACTCTTTGAACACCTGCAGCACAAGTTCATTTTAGTGAGATGAAATTATTTCTTTTTTTTTTTTTTTGAGAGATTTTTGCTGTAGGGCATGCGCACTTGCCAGAGAGAGACAGAAAGCAAGAAATCACCCCCCACTCCCAAGGGGGATGGCCATGCCACAATCCCTTCTCCTCCATTCTCAACTACCTGGGAGTCCAACAACATAGCCATTACGCCAACTTCTGGTCCTGAAATTATTTCAAATTTCTTTCTAAGCTTGTATAGCTGTTTCTTCGTTTACAAGTTATATTTGTTAATTCTGATTTTGCCTTCTGGACCTTGTGGTACAAGTCTACCCTCTCTTCTACTTAACTTTCTTTTGGTACATGAAGAAGGGAAATCATGGCCTTCTTGGTCTTTTCCAGACTCAGTATCGTCCATTTATGAACTGATCCTCCTCACCTTATGACTCTTCAGAAGGTCATTTCTTTTTAAAAGATTTTTTAAAGTGTACTCTTCTTGTGACTCATTCACATTTCAGGTTGAATTTTTGTGACTAATAGACTAGCAGTCTGTGATGTGATTAGTCGAAGGTACGTCAGATATATCTTACACTCCGTTAATTTATAAGGCTTTCTTGATGACTTTAGTTTACTTTATTTCTCCAGAATAACAGAAGAATTGCCGAAAGAGATGAAACATTAGATATTAGCTCTATTGCATAGAATGATGACTGTAATAAATAATAATGCATTGTGTGTTTCAAAATTGCTGAAAGAGTTGGTTTTGAATAAATATGGCTCTACTACAGTGGTGCAGTGGTGATAACAGCACCAGTACCCTGGCTGACCGCACACTCTAAATGTGCGCATGTGTGGCCGTGATCCTGGCTGCGTGAAAAGAAGTGTATGTGAAGGGGGTTGTGTGTTGAGACTCTGTTGAAGATGCTTGGTTTTCTCTTTCTTCTCTGTCTCTCTCATGAAAGAGATGAACTTAAAAATTTTTTGTAAGTGTGAAGTGATGGATTTGTTAATTAGCTTAATCATTTCACAACATAAACACATATTAAGATGTCATATTATGGGACCAGCAGTTAGCATAATGGCTATGTCGCTGGACTCCCACGTAGTCGACCGCGGTGCAGGTCCCGGACCCGGTGGCTTAAAACTCACGCTGGGCACATGTGCGTGCGTGCCCAAGATCCGGAGAGGAGAATGGAGGGGAAGGGATTATGGCATGGCCATCTACCCTGGGCGGTGATTTCTCGCTTTCTGTTTCTCTGTCTCTCTGTCTGTCTGACGAGCGCACGCACCCCTATGTCAAAACCTCTCCAGAAAAAAGATGTCATATTGTACTCCATATACAACCATTATTTGCCAGTTAAAAATAAAATTTTTAAAATAAGATAGTAATTGTTGGGGACCAGCAGTTAGCATAATGGCTATGTCGCTGGACTCCCACGTAGTCGACCGCGGTGCAGGTCCCGGACCCGGTGGCTTAAAACTCACGCTGGGCACATGTGCGTGCGTGCCCAAGATCCCGAAAGGAGAATGGAGGAGAAGGGATTGTGGTGTGGCCATCCCCCCTGGGGAGGGGGGAGATATCTCACTTTCTGTCTCTCTGTCTGTCTGGCGAGCGCACATGCCCTATAGCAAAAACTTCTCCAAAAATAAAAAGATATTAATTGTTCAGATTGTTCCTTCATATAGAATATAAGATTGTAAGACCACAAGTAATACTGATATTATCCAGGAAATTTAAATGTAAATCTTTGTTTGGACAAAATTTATCTTTGCCTTCTAACTTTTGTTGTTGTAGGGCATGTGCACTCACTGGAGAGAGACAGAGAAAGAGAGAGAGAAAGTGGGAAATCCCCCTTCAATCCTTGAACCATGTGGGAGTCCAGCACTTTAACCACCACACCACCTGCTGGCTCCAGTGTGGCAAGTTTTATCAGCCTTAATTGATCTGACTTTTTCTCCTTTAAATTAATTAATTCATTATTATTTATTTTGACCAGAGAGAGGGGAAAGTGAGAAAGCAAGCCATCAGGTCAGCCATGTCACAGTCTAGTGCTTCAGCCATCATGCCACCTGCCAGCCCCATGTGACTTAAGATTTTTTTTTTCCTTTGAGATATTATTGCTAAGAGGTATATGCACAAGACAGACAGAAAGCTAGAAAGCACCTCCAGGGGGATGGCCATGCTGCACTCCCTTCTCCTCCCTTCTCCTTTTGGGATTTTTGGCACATGGGCACATGTGCACCACGTGAGTCTCAAACTGTCGGTCTGGGACTCAACTGTGGTTGACCATGTGGGATTCTAGTGCCTTAACCATTATACCACCTGCTGGCTTCATGACTTAAGTTTTAACAGGATTGTTATGACTACAGTGTCAAGAGTAGAGGGCAAGGGAGCCTAGAAAGAGTAAGTGATAGAAACTTGAACTCGGAAACCTATTTGAACTTAGTTGGTAAACTCATGGTCTGCATTTAATGATAATACTTGGCGTGGTTAATGATAGGGACTACTAGAGTCTGACTGCTGAGATTTAAATCTATCTTACTAATGACATAACTTTTTTTTAAAAGAATTACTTAATTTTATTTGTTCGTTCATTTATGGTTTTTTGTTTGCTTGGGTTTTTGTTTTGTTTTGTTTTGTTTGTTTTGGTTTTTTTTTTTTTTTTTTTTTTGTTATAAAGAGCGTCCACTCGCCCGAATTGCTATAGAGCGCGTGCACTCGCCCGAAAGACAGAGAGAGACAGAAAGCAAGAAATCACCCCCCAGGAGGGATGGCCACGCCGCAATCCCTTCTCCTCCATTCTCCTCTTGGGATCTTGGGCATGCACGGCGTGAGTTTAAGCCACCGGGTCCGGGACTCGAACCGTGGTCAAGTACATGGGAGTCCAGCGACATAGCCATTACCCTAACTGCTGATCCCTGTTTGCTTGTTTTTTAATTTGACCAGAGAGAGACACAGAGAGAAGGATAGTGAAAAAGCAAGCCACCAGGTCCGGGACTCAAACCGTGGTCAGCCATGTGGGAGTGTCCAGCGCCTTAACCATCATACCACCTTCTGGTCCCCAGTAATGACATTACTTCTATATCTTCATTTTCTCATTGGTGAGATGACAGAAATAACAATACTTCACAGAGTTTTGGTAATTAATTAATTATTACATGTAGAATTTTGAATCGTGCCTGCTAATATAGACACACAATAAATGTTGATACTTAAAAATGTTGGTATTATCGTCCTATATTTGTCATTTGGCAAATGTTGACTCTCTTATCACTATGTTTAACATTGTTCATTTCTTTTCTATAACTTATTTTGGTTTAGACTACAGAAGCTCTTGCCTGGACTGTTATACCACTATCTTAGTCAATCGCCTTGCCTTCTTTCTTTCTATGCCCTTCAACCTTATACAGTGTTACTAGATTGCCACATTACTTCTGTGCTCTATTATAAATTCTCTTTCCTTTTCTCTCTCTTTTATTATGTCGAAGTCTCAGAGAGCACATGTATGCACCAGAGAGAGAAAGGAAGCACTCCTCAAGGGGGTGTGATCATGCCACAATACTTTTTTCTTTATTTCTCCATGCCATCAGGATTTGGGCACATACGTACACATACCTGACATGTTTTTCAAGTCCCCAGGGTCCGGATCTGAATCATTCGGCCATGTGGGATCTGCCCACTGTATCGCACTTAACCATCGTATTATGGGGCCAACACTTTCCTATTGGCTTTCTGTTTTGTGCACACTTACTCAAGTGCTTCTTGATATCGTAATCTGATTTACCTTTCATGTGGTTCTAGCATGCCTTCTCGAAGTATATATTACTTCATGCCTTTATTGAAACCACATGGATCCTCTATTTAACTTTTCTGCCATGTGAATATTTTTAATTTATCCTCCAGTGCCACAAACTGCATTTTCTACTTTATATCTCACAATAATATGTCTTCCTTGGTTCTATGATCATTTGCATTCTTCTTTAATCCTTAGATTTGGAATATTAAATGTAGGAGATTACATCTAAGGATGCAAGCTGTGATACATAGCTTGAAACTTGTGTTCTACTATGATTTCATACTATACAGTAGATGTTTTAATAAATACTTGTTGAATTGATTTTATTTCAATTGTCATTTTGCTCTAGGAATGATCAACAGCATCAAGTTTCTGAGTTCGAATGTGAGGAAAATGCTATTCCAGATTCACCAATAACAGCCTTTTCATTTTCTGGTGTTAATCGGCTGCGAAGAAAGGAGAACCTCCATGTCCGATACATAGAACAAACACATACTCATTTAGAGCACTCCCTGTGCGCAGATGGTAAGGGTTTGAGCTGTATTTTAGATATTTGGTTTTGTAAAAATGTATTTCTCTATTCTTACTTTTGATGTTATCCAATCTAGTGGAAGGAAGATAATCATTATTCAGTAATATATGGCACATTATGAGTTTAATTTCCATCACGAAAGTGACTAAGAAGGCGTTTTCTGTTTGTAGTATGTATAGATATCTGTTGCTCATCTGAATATGCAAACCCTCAGCATTTTGTAAATATAGTAAATAGTTTCTTTTCCTCTTCTCTTTTTATTTTAGAAATATTCTTGTGTGTCCATATCTGCATGAGATAGAAGGAAAGAGGAAAGGAACTGATTGCTAATTTCGATCTCCTATTTCCCAGGTCTCATGCTGAGTGATTTGTTTATGTTTAGAAAGGTTAAATAACTCACTCAAGCTTAACTGACAAGTTAGGTGGATGAGTCAAAATACAGCAATGGGTCTTTTTGGCTTTATACTCTACTTCCCAGGGCTTTACCCAGACAATCATGCCATTAGGGCTATCTTTGGCTAATTTTGTTGCCATATGGGGAAAATCAAGAATTACCTTTATAATGTACCTACTTTGTGGCTTATCAATGGCATATTTCTGATTTCAGCTGTTTACCATTTTTGCTAAATATCTTATAACTATCTTTTCATATAGTTCTGAAATTTATCGTGTGACATGACACAATGATTATTCCTTTAATATTAATCCAAATAAAGTGATAAAGACCTTAAGTTTTTTCTTTAAAGAATTATTTAAATTTATTTATTTATTACTATTTGATATACTACAGGGCATGTGTATTCACCATAGAGACAGACAGAGAGAGGGAAGGAAAGTAAGAAAGCAAGCTGCCAGGTCCAGGATTCAAATTGTGGTTGGCTATATAGGATCCCAGCACCTTAACTACCATGCCACCTACTACCTCCAAGACTTTAACTTTTTATCTGTTTTTTTCCTTAGAGAGAAATTTTTATTACAGGGTGCATGCACCTGCTGGAGAGACAAAGAAAGTGAGAAATCACCCCCTAGGAGGGATGGCCACACTGTAATCCCTTCTCCTCTATTTTCTTTTTGGAATTGTGCACATGTACCTGGCATGATTCAAGCTGCTGGGTTTGGGACTCCAACCATGATCGATCATGTGGGACTCCAGTGCCTTAACCACTACGCCACCTACTAGTCCTCAAGACATTAACTTATAATCTAAACTATTTTTAACAAGGAAAACATTTGAAAGGAGGAGGTGTATATAGTTACAGAGATATTTATATAATACAAGTAAGTTGACCACAGAAACTATGCCTTTAAAAGGATAAGTAGATCTTATTCTTTGTTAGTGAAAAATTGACCGTCTTTGTCTTCATTTTATATGAGTTTGCATCACCATCTAGTGGAAATCAAAAGAACTGTTCAAAATCCAATACATAATTAAGAAGTAAATTAGAATGTAAAATTGTAGATCTCTATTAAACATTCATTGGCCTCTTATCCTGCTGTCAGGACATGACTCATTATAGATAATTATCTATATAATCTAGATCATGTTTAAATCATTAAGAATATCAGAAAATAAATCACAGCAATTTTCTTTATTAACAAAGGCCTTTTTTTCCCCTATATTGTTTACATGCTTCTAGTTTATTTCTTCATTGTATGAAAGAGTGAATAGCTATTTAAAATTTGGGGCCAGCCAGTGGCACAGTGGTTGAGGTAGCTGGATCCCACATGGCTGACTGTATGGTTCTAGTCATGGACCCAGCAACTTGAAAAATATACCCAGAGTATGTGTGTACATGCCCAGAATTCAAAAAGGAGAAATGGAGGGGGCGGAATTGTAGCATGACCATCCTCCATTATGGGTGCTTTCTCATTTTCCCTCTCTATTTCTCTGTCTTTCTCTGACAAGCACATGTGCCTACTAGCAAAATTGTAAATAAATAAATAAATAAAGATAGATAGATAGATAGATAAGATTTGTTTTAATTTGTTCATATAATTTTTTTAACTTAGAATCTGAAAAATTGCTTTAAATATATAAGATAACTTTTAAGACATGCAGATTACTTTAAAATAAGTTTTAATTGATTTATTGACTAAATAGTTCTATTCTCTTTCTAACTACCTTTGTTTATTTTAAAGTTTGTGGTTTATTTTCAAATTACAATTAGTAAAGCTCTGTTTCCCTTTGTCCTTCTTTTGTTTTTCTTTGAATTAAATTCTTAAACAGTAGAATGATTTCTAATAAAGCATGTTTCAGCATATCCTTTCAGAATGTGAAAATTCTGAAAGATTGTGGAGATATATAATACACTGTACATCTTAAGTTAACATGCTGATTTAAAATATACACAGGGAGGGACCAGCAGATGGCCTAATGGTTCTGTTGTTGGACTCCCATAATTGACTGTGGTCCAAGTACTGGACTCAGAGGCTTAAAACTCATGCTGGGGGCATGTGTATGCGTGCCCAAGATCCTGAGAGGAGCACGGAGGAGAAGGGATTGCTTTCTGTCTCTCTCTTCCCATCTCTCCAGCGAGCACATGTGCCCTTTAGCAAAAAGCTCTGTTAAAAAAAAATAAATAAAATATACGTGTGTGTGTGTGTGTGTGTGTGTGTATACACACACATACACAAGGAAAGGAAACATTAAAATGTTACTCTAGATGATGAAATCAGAAGACATTTGTCCATTCTAATCTTCTTCCACTGTTGTAACTGGCAGCTTTGTTTCTTAGTGAAAGTGAAATAACTTCTAAGAGTATGAAAATGTCAATAAAATAGTGTCTGTAATGCATTTAAAGACAGCTTTGTATTGACTTACCAAAATAATATTTCGGTAATACTTTTTGTCACCATTGTTTATTATGTAATCTCTCTTCTTTTTCCCTATAGAACTGAAAAAAGTTTTCAAGGCTTCAACTAATCTACAACATAAGCTTAATGAAAATGAAATGCTAGTGGCTGACACCTGTGATCAAAGTCAGTCTCCAGTGACTAGTAAGCAAGATACTTATAAGTTTAGAATTTGTGGCTATTGGTAGGCAGGAGTAACAAGCAGTATTAATTAGGCAATATTTTTAAGTTTTTTTTTTATATATAATTCTATTTATTTTACTAGTTGTTTAAAGGCTTGTTTCATATTGTCAAGTAATGTTATCCTACTATTAATTCATATTAATACTCCATCCATACTAATACAAATTGCTAATAATTTCATGTGAAGAAGACTTTCTTGTGGTTTACCTATTCATTCAACATATACTTAAATGTCTTCTGTATATCAGGCACTGAGAAACAAAGCCCTTGCTCTTACAGAGCTTACAACCTAGTTGGGGAGAAAGAAAATGAACAAATAGCAGCGTAAGAAGGGATATTAGAAAACCTTTCATAAAGTAATATTTCAACAGAGACTGAGGGAAGCAAGTGAGTCCTGGGGTATCTGAAAGAAGAGCAACCCAGACAGAGAAATCGGCAGCACAAAGGCCCTGAAGAGAAGGTGCCATTTAGTTTCAAATACATTAAGGAAGCCTGTGTGGCTGGAGCAGAGTGAGTGAAAATAAGATTGGTTTGGGCAACAGGAAAGGTAGAATTGCTTTTTACTGAGAGGAAGAATGAGACCAGTAGGTTTACAGATTGTAGGTTGGGATTGGCTAGAAATTACTCCACTCATGGCATTTGAATTCACTGATATACTGTATATCTATTTAAATACTATATGTATGTATTTCTGTGGGGTTTTTTGGCATAAAAAGAGTAAGATATTTTGCCTTCCCAAGAACCAATTTTTTACCCCCTTGGAAGCAATATTGCAGCTGTTTGAGATAGTATTTTGGAAGTTTTTAAAAATGAGGAGGAACCAAAGTTGAAAAGTGATCTGTTGGAGCCAGCAGGTTGCATGGTGGTTGGGTCACTGGACTACTACATGGCCAACCATGGTTTGGGTACCAAATCTGGCAGCTTGCTCTCTCACTTTCTCTCTCTCACTTGCTCACTCTGGTGAGCACACATGTCCTATAGCAAATTTAAAGAATTTGCTGATAAAATTTTTTAGAAAAGAAAATTGATCTATCAATATATTCAATATCTCTACTTTCTTGGGACCAGCAGTTGGCGTAATGGCTATCTCGCTGGACTCCCATGTAGTTGACTGCGGTTCAAGTCTTGGACCCGGTGGCTTAAACTCACACCAGGCGCGTGTGCGTGCACGCCCAAGATCCCAAGAGGAGAATGGAGGAGAAGGGATTGTGGCATGGCCATCCCCCCTGGGAGGTGATTTCTCGTTTTCTGTCTGTCTCTGTCTTTCTGGCAAGCGTACACACCCTATAGCAAAAACCTCTCCCAATATATATATTCATTATCTCTACTTTCTTAAGTCTTGTTTACTCTCATCTACTATAGTTTTGATTCTACTCCCCCTTCTCCACCCAACCCTGCTCCTACAAGAGAGAAAGAGAAAGGGGTACAGGAGAAGGAAGGAAGAAGAGGAGAGAAGAAGAAGAAGGAACAGAGAGAGAGAGCACATCTCGCACCCTTTGTCTTACTCATTACACTAGAACTCATTCTGCAAAAGTCATCAGTGTGGGACCAGCAGGGGGCATAGTGGTTAAGGTGCTGGACTCCCACTCAGACCGTCGGCCAGGATTTGAGTCTCGGACCTGGCTGCTTGAAGCTCACACTGGGCACATGTGTGTGTGCCCAAAATCCCTAGAGGAGAAGGGATTGCAGCATGGTAATTTCTTGCTTTCTATCTCTCTGGTGAGTACACACGCCATATAGCAAAAATCTCTCCCAGAAAGAGTCATCAGTGTTATTATTCTCAAATCTATATGCTCCTGCTTATTCTCATCTCATTTTCTTTTCATAGAGGAATCTCACTATTCTGCTACTACCTATATGCTAATAAGTCCCAAATCTATATCTCTGTCCAAGATATTTATCCTGAATTTCAAACCAGTATATTTTGCCTGCTGTTGAATATCTCTACCTAGAAATTCAACTTCGGCATTTCCAAAATTGAAACTTTACTGTGAAAAGTACTTTTCATGTTTATATTTACAGTCTCAGTGAATAACATTGTACATAACCTCTTTCTGTTTCATAAATGCAAAAACTTTGAGTCATCCTGGGTTCTTCCTTCTTCATCTCTTTTGAAGAGATGACCAAGCTGCATGGTTTGAGTCTCAGACCCAGCTACTTGAGAAACACACTGAGCACATACATGCATACCCCAAATCCTGAAAGGACAGAGAGATGAAGAGGAGGGAAGTGCAATCATCCCCCATGGGAGATACTTTCTCCTTTCCCTTTCTTCCTGCAAGTGCATGTACCTTCTTGCAGCTAAATATTGATACTCATCCTGTATCTTTTTTAAGAATTATTTTATTTATTTATTTATTTATTTATTTATCTTAATTTGATCAGACAGAGAGAAGGTAAGCCACCAGGTCCAGGACTCAAACCATAGTTGGCCATATGGGAATCCAGTGCCCTTAACCACCATGCCACCTGCCAGCCTCCTCGTGCTGTATCTTAAGTTATAATAAATCCATTATTAATCCATTTTATGATTCCCCTCTCAGTGGCGATAATAAAAGTAATCTGTCTACTGCATTCAGTTCATTTAAGAAAAGCAGAAAACTTAACTGAAAAATTAGAACCAGCATAGAAACCAAATACCTGCAATTTAATTGTAATTTACAGTAGATATTTTGAATTTTTTTAATACCGAATTTTAAATTTTCTCTAGTGCTGTCTTATAAAGTAGTTCTTTGAGCCTTTTAATTTCTTTTTTGTAATTTTTATAGACATAGTTTCTATAGTTATATAATTGTTTATTTTTCTTTTAGAAACACACGGAACAAGCAGTTATCCCACTGATAAGTCATCTTTTAATTTAGCTACAGTTGTTGCTGAAACACTTGGAGTTAGTGTTCAAGAAGAATCTGTAAGTATTTACTTTGGTGATTATATGAATTAATTAATATGTCCTTTTAGATCAGTTCTTAGAGAATGCAGCAAGATAAAAGATATTTTATCAATGATTATTAAATGCAGGGCTAGAACAAAACTAATGTCATTAGAAAGGCCCACGCATATAAGCAGCCCCAAGCAATCCCAGAAATTTCTGGAGTGTTTAGAATTCTTGAAATATGGATTGAGTAGAAACTTAGGAAAATGAGTAGCTCTAGGGAGGCAGATCCAATATGGCCAGCCAGAATCCAGGCCCAGTGACTGAAAAGACCCACCAGATGAGTGTATTAGAGTGCTCATACTCCTCATGGGATGGAGAAATGGAGAAGTAGGGATTGCAGCATAGCCACACCACATAGGGAGTACTTTTCTTCCTCTTCCTCTGGTGCGTGTGCTTGCCCTCTGACAACTAAAAACTTTAGGGATCTGGTTAAAAGATCTGGATCCCACATAGCCTACCACATTTTAAATCCCAGCCTCAGCAGTTTATAAAATATACCAGGCACATGTGCTTGCATGCCTCAACTCCCAACAGGATGGATAAATGGAGGAGGGAGATCATGGGGTGGGGGCGGAGGAGGCATGAGAGGGGGGTTCTCACACACACTTTGTCTCTCTCCTCTCCCCCACCATTTCTCTGGTGAGTACATATGCCCTCTGGTAATAAAAAAAGAAAAGGAAAATTAAGGAAGTAGTGATAGCATAGAGGAGCTTATCAACCCTCTTCCCTTCCTCCTCTCTCTTGTCCCATGCCTCCATTCCATCTAAGAAAAGACCTAAACTGTTAGGTTGATTTTATAATTTGTTAAATCTTTTTTTTGACATCCTTTAAACTGGGCTTTGATTTGGAAGACAGGCTGAATTCTTGGGACTACCAAGAACTTCCAATCCAGTTAGACATAATTCTTAGGAATTGGATCACAGATTAACCCTATGATTTCCTTTTCTTATTTTAGTACTTTTTAATCAAATAAGTTTACTTTTTTCCCTTAATCCCTAGAAAATAGAAAATTTATATTTTTTAATACTAAGGAAAAATTCTGTTTTGATACAGCTTTATCAAAGTATTCCTTTGCTATATTTGATGAATATAGACATGTGCTTTTATAAAGTTGTAGTGCCATTGAATCCCTAAATATTGAATTGGTTTTTCATTATATTTGGATTTTTTTTTGCCCTTCCTAGTTTTCAATCTACCTTCAAGTGATAATGGGAAGTTTTTAACCTTCAAATATGTTTTTATGGTTTCTAATTCTCTCCTATCCATAAATGTGCTAAGTAAGTACTTTAAACCCCAAATATCTGAAGACTTGCCAGGGCCACCAGTGGCATGGTGGTTAAGGCAATTGAATACTACATGTCTGACTGCAGGTTTGAGTACCAGACCCAGTGACTTAGGGTGGATGTATGTGCATGCCCAAAATTCCAAGAAGAAGATGAAGGAGAAGAGATTGCAGTGTGGTTGCCTCTCCTGGTCAGGAGGGTGCTTTCTCACCCTCCCCCATCTCTCTCTGGCTGCCCAAGGTTTATATCCTGGCCAGCAGCATCTGCATCACCTTTAAAGTTTGTTAGGGATACTAAGGTACTGAATTTGAAAATTTTGTTTGTGTTTTAGGTTTTTGCCATAGGACACATGCACTTGCCACAGAGACAAAGAGAGGGAAAGTGAGAAATTACCCCTAAGGGGAGATAACCATGCTATCTTCCCTTTTCCTCCATTTCACCTCTCCACATTTTGAGTATGCATGCATGTGCACACACACGCACATGCACACCATGATTTTCAAGTCTCCAGGTCCAGGACTCTTTAACTGCTGTCTACCATGTGGGAGTCTAGCACCTTAACCACCATGGCACCTGCTGGCCCTAAATTTGCTTTTTAATAAGACTCTCAGTTGACTTACATGCATGTTAAAGTTTAAGAAGTGCCACCCTCTGAGAAATCCATTTAAAAACTTCTTCAGACTCCCAGAATATTCAGACAATAAGCCATTTTAAACCTGAGGTGTATCCTGGTGTGTTCAGGAAATCTATGCACTAAACCCATCTCCTAGACTCCCAAAATTTTCAGAGAAGAAGTCATTTTAAAGGTGAGGTGTGTCTTGGCATGTCCAGGAAAGCTATGCTCTAAACCCTTCTCCTAGACTCCCAAAATATTCAGACAACACTGTGAAGGAGAGATTTTTGTCACAGAATGACCAGAAACAACTGCAGAGGCACAAGAAACATGAAAAACCAAGAAAATTTCTCTCCCCTAATGGAAAAGAACAATCCCTCATTATCCACAGACAGTACAGCAGAATTCATGGAAATGTCTGATAGAGACTTCAGAATATTCATCGTGACAAAACTAAATGAGATGCAAGGACTGAGAGACAGTGAACTCCAGAAGATGCAAGAGAAAAGAGACAAGTTCTAGGAGGTGTTAAAGTTCTGTCATGATCTGAAAGAGGAAATACACACCAAATAGAGAATCAAAAAAAGAATCAAATGGAGCTACTAGAGATGAAGGCTGCCATTCAGGAAATCAAAACCTCCCTCGAAAGTATTCAAAACAAGTTAGTCCATGCAGAAGATTGAATCTTGGATGTTGAAGGCAAAATCTTTGATCTAGAAAAAACAACTAAAAAAACTGAGAAAATAACCTGCAAAAATGAGAATACTGTGCGAGAAATACTAGACAGCATTAAGTGCCCAAACATCTGGATGATTGGTATCCCAGAAGGTGAGGAAACTAATAAGAGCATTGATAATCTATTCCATAAAATCTTGGAAGAAAACTTTCCAAATCCAGAGAAGCATTCAAATATCCAGACCCAAGAAATACAAAGGACCCCTAATAAAATCAAACCAAGAAGGTCTTCTCCAAGGCACATCATAGCCAGACTGGTCAAATTTACAGTCAGACAAGATACTAAAATTGACAAGAGAGAAACATCAGGTAACTTGTAAAAGTTATCCCATCAGGCTAACCTCAGATGTCTCATCAGAAACAACACAAGCAAGGAAAGAATGGGAACATATATTCAAAGTGTTAAGTGAAAAACAGTTTCAACCAAATATACTATACCCAGCAAGATTATCTTTCATATGGAAAAAAAGAATAAAAACATTCTTAGATAAATAAGACCTGAAAGAATTTGCCAGTAGCAGACCCACTCTTCAAGAAGTTCCAAAAGGAGTGTTTGACCAGTAAAACTAAAGACACATACAGAAATAAGAAAACAAAAGACAACCAAAAAAACAACCAAAATTTAATGCTAGGGACAAGAAATATCAATAACAATGTTGAATGTTAACTTCCAGGGTTTAAACGGAAAGATTGGACCACAGCAACACTGCATGAATTTATTTGAACATGAGACTGAATTGGCGTAATAGAATTTTATGACTTTTGAGTAAAACATTACTGATTTTTTTTACCATGTTTTGTTTTCCCAATTTAAACATTTTACTTTCTTTTGAGTTGTTGATAGGTTCAGCAATTTGTTAAATTTTTTTTCTTGTTTGTTTCTTTAAATGGAAGCATAAACTTTTCTTTCTTCCTGACCCCTCTGGAATTGGAAAATATTTGGAGTATTCTTATTTGTGGCAGAATAGTTATTTGCACAAGTTCAATAATACCTGTTGCTTTGAATCAGAAATTGGAAATACTCATTATTGGACAGGTCTTTGACTGGAATGTCATATCTGAAGATTAAACCAGAAAACTATGGAACTAAGGTAGATCTCAGGTAAGCTAACAGAAGCTCTTGGAAAGATGGCCTGGCACCATAAACAGTTCTGCCTGGCAGAGAGGATTTCCAATTATAACATAAAATAACCTGGACTTTTCTAGCCCAGCATTGTAATCAGTAGAGATTGCAAAAGAACAACCACACCAGAGGATTATTTTGAGAAAGATTTTGAAGGAAGAAAAAGAGACTGATCTTTGCTAGCAGATGGTATATCACAGAATACTTGGCAGGGCTGAATTGATGTGTATGTGTGACTAGTGTGCTCGGCATTTGCTTTTCAACAATTTGAGTAATTGACATGTAAATATTTTCTCAAAAATATTTAAAACCGTACTGTCTCTGTTATAGAGTCACAAATAAAAGTATACAAAACTATAAGAAATGTTTTGAACATTATTTTTAAAATTCAGTATTTTGAAATTTTGAAAGTTGCTTATTAACTGTCAAGAACTATGGAGTATGAGTTAAAAGTTTTTAATATGTAAAGTAAATGTGTAAAAATGTAAAAATAAATAAAAGTGAAAAAATAAAATACAAAAAATTTTTAAAAATAACTCTTCTTCTATTATCATAAACATCCATCTCTATTCCCTTTGCCTCATCTTAATAATACTGTTTTTGGAGGTTTTTTTAATGCCAATACTAGAATATACTTATATAAAATAATAAAATATAGATACTTTTCTCTTTAAACTTAAAATTTGTTTCAGTTTTTTTAGTGTGATGAAATTTACATAAAATTGACCATTTTAAAGTGGGATTTAGTACATTGTGTTATGCAACTAGATGCTCTGTCTAGTTCCTTAAGTTTTGTTACCCACAAAAGAAAATTTTATATTCATTACATATTCAGTCCCCATTGCCCCATCTCCACAGTCTTTGATACCCACCTATCTGCTTTTTATCCTTGTATATATACCTATTATGGATATTTAATGAAAGTGGAATTATATATTTTTTGGCCTTTGAACGTGTCTTCTTTTACTTAGTGTATTTTTAAAGTTTATCCACATCATAGCATATGTCAGTATTTTTATCTTTGTAAGGGTGAATAATACTTCATTGCATGAGTGTGTTTCATATTTTACTATTGAAGGAATCTCAAGGTCCCATGAGCCCTCTTGCTGATGAGCTCTACCACTGTTTGGAAGGAGATCATAAGAAACGGCCAGTTGAGGAATCCACAAGAAATAGTGAAAATAGTTTAAGGTAATTTGGGGTGCTTTGTTCAAAATATATAAGCTGTTAATAAGCTCTCATTACAGTCACTTTCATATAATTAAACCATTTCTCTCCCTCAGCATGTAGTTTATTATCCTGATTATAATAACTTTTATTCATTTATTTTTGGAGAGGTTTTTGCTATAGGGTACATGCACTCGCCAGACAGACAGAGAGAAAGGGAGAAATCAACCCCCGGGGGGATGGCCACGCCGCAATCCCTTCTCCCCTCAGGATCTTGGCCGCGCATGCACACGCACTCAGCGTGAGTTTTAAGCCACCGGGTCCAGGATGCAAACTGTGGTCGACTTGGGAGTCCAATGACATAGCCATTACGCCAACTGCTGGTCCCTAATAACTTTTATTTTTAAAAATGTCTCTCTAGGGTGATGAGTTGAGAGGTTTGTTTTCCTTTTAGTAAAGGGGTAGATGTTATTTTTAGATTTTGTATATCTATCAGGCAGTACTTAAGAGCATCCAGTCTTGTTACTCTGCCTCTTTAAAGACCTACATGTACCTTCTGGATTTATACTTCCCAAAATGGGATGTTTTACAAATTTATCTATAAGCTTGGATGAACTTTCAAGATTGTGTTCCATCTCCTTTTATTCTAAGAGGTTTTTGCAATAGGGCGCATGCGCCCTCCTGAGAGACAGGAAGCAAGAAATCACCCCCCCAGAGGAGATGACCATGCCACATTCTCTTCTCTTCCATTCTTCTCTCAGGATTTTGGGCACACATGCACACATGCCTGCATGAGTTTTAAGCTAGGACTCAAACCTCAGTAGACTATGGGAGTCCACAGACAACCTTTGCACCATCTGCTGGTCCCGCATCCATCTCATTTTTACTAATTCCAAAATATCTGTTAAATAATAGTACCTATATTCATGCAGTGTTTTTTAATTTTTAAAGGACTTGTAGTTTTAAATAAATATAACACATCTCATCTGTCTTCATAGTAACTTATTAAAGTAGATGTTATCACCCCATTTTTTTTTTAACAGCTGACACAAATGCAGGTCAAGAGAGGTTAAATGTCTTATAAAGGGCCAAGTAACCATTAAGTGCGAGAGGCAGAGCATCTACACAGCCCACATCTTCAAGCCTAAACCCGGTGTTCTTTCTACAGCCACGTCCTCTTCTAGAGACAGCTGGGTCTTAATTTATGTTAAATTCTGTATCATAAGAATTTTGTTTCTGAGGGTTATTCATTACAAGATTTCTTAACAATGGTAGTTTTAGCTCCTCATTAGAATTTATTAAAATATGATTTTCTTATATAATGAAGTTATTTAAATTATTTAGGAAAAAATTATATAGATTGGAATATTATGATATTTAGACATGTTTGCTATATCATTTTCTTCTGCTTTTTAATCAGCCAAATAAAAAGCCAACTTTACCCTATATTAAATGATTAATCATCTTCCTTTAGTAGGTAGATAAGATATTACTATTAATTTTGTATTAACAAAGGTCTTCTCATGTTTATTTTTCAGTTTGTACCCTATTTGTTTAGTAGGAAAAAAAGTCTTATTATTCTTTTTATTTAGATTTTCAGATTCTACTTCAAAGACTTCCTCTCAAGAAGAATTGACTACTCGGGTGACATCTCCTGTATTTGGAGCTACCTCTAATATAAAAAGTTGTTTAGGTTTGAATACAAGTTTATCCCCTTCTCTTTTAGATACTGGGGAAAAAAAAGCCATCTGAAAATAGCCCCTTTGAGCAACACTTGTATTTCTAGAGCAGAGAAAGCCAGATCAAAATCTGAAGATAATGCTCTTTTCACATGTCATAGTGTTGAGTCTGAAGTAAACAAGATCATTAGCTACTCATCTTCTTATAAGCAGATTCTTAGAAATATAAGTGAATCCATAAGTGAACAGAATAGTACTGATGCCATGAAAGATGCTATTACTGATAAACATTTGGTGCCCTTGAAATCAGTGGGGAGCAGAACATCCAAAAGGAAGAAAACTGAGGAAGAAAGTGAACATGACATAAGCTCCCCTCAAGGTTCTTTTGATAAAGAAAATGCTTTTCCTTTTCCAATGGATAATCAGTTTTCCATGAATGGGGACAATATGATGGATAAGCCTCTGGATCTTTCTGATCGATGTTCAGCTATTCAGCGTCAAGAGAAAAGCCAAGGCAGTGAGACCCCTAAAAACAGATTTAGACAAGTGACTCTCTATGAGACTCTGAAGCCCATTTCAAAGGGTTCTTCAAGCCGTAAGGCCTTGGGTGGGAGCTGCGTGTTACCCAGAGATCCCCCTGAGGAGTCCTGTTTACAGGAGTGCATCCTTCAGTCCTTAAGTAAATCCTCTCCAGACAGTAAAACACCATTACAAATAAAAGAAGAAAATCCTGTCTTCAAAATCCCTCTATGTCCACGTGAAAGTTTGGAGGCAGAAAATTTTTTAGATGATATGAAGGTTTGTATTTAAATGTTCAAAGATTTTGAGTAAAGTGGTTATTTGTGATTTCATCTGGATGCTAGTAATTGTTTCTGTTTTAGGGTGCTAGTTCTCATGAGCCAATAAAATTAAAACCCAGGTCAATCCATGGAGGGTGTGAACTTGCATCCGTTCTTCAGTTAAATCCATGTAGAATTGCTAAAACAAAATCTCTACAAAACAACCAAGGTTTGTACACTATAGATGGGATTTCCACCCTCTTTTAATGACTTTAAATTTGGTATTACATTTTTTGAATCAATTGTATTGTTTTGTAAAAAGTCTTATTTCTTGCTGTTTGTTTCTGTGTTCCCAGGATGATTTTTATTGATTTCCTTCTACCTGTAATTTTTTTCCTGCTCTTACGCCTTTTGAAAAACATGAATTGAGGTTTTTTTTAGTTTTTATTCTACATTTTATTTATTTACTGATAGGAAAAGAGAGATTGATTTTTTTTTTTTTTTGAGAAGTTTTTGCTATAGCATATGTGTGCTAAACAGAAATACAGAGAGACAGACAGAAAGTGAGAAATCACTTCTTGGGGGGGTGGGGGGGTGGCCATGCTGCAGTCCCTCCTCCTCCATTCTGCTCTTGGGATCTTGGGCACACACACATATGTACCTGGCATGAGTTTAAGCCACCGGGTCTGGGACTCAAACCGCAGTCGACTACCTAGGAGTCCAGCAACATAACTATTATGCCATCTGCTGGTCCCCTGAGAGAGATCAATTTTTGACAAGTTCTTGCCATGTCAGGATCCTCCTGACTTGGCCTCCCAGCTAGCTAGACCTGCAGGTGTGCTTTGCTGCACCCAGCCCATTTACTTTGGGCCAGAAACTAAACCCAGGGCTTACATGTTGCATCAACCTCCAAGAAGTGCTGTTTTAGCAGTGTGTGCCACTGCAGCTGAGCCTGAATCAAGACCTTTTGACATCTACTTTTTTAGGGTACTGTGGATTTACTTATTTTACATAGTTATTCGGTATTTTCTTTTTCAAACTTGTTTTTATTTATTTTAAAATTTGGTATAAGGTGTATTGCACTCATCAGAGGAAAAGAGAGGGGAAATGAGAAAGCATCCCCAGGATGCTGAAGTCCCTTTTCTATTCTCCTCTTGGCATTTTTGGGCATGCATATACACGTGCCTGGCATGTTTTTCAAGTCACTGGGTCTGGCACTCATACCACACAGTCAGCCATGTGGGAATCAGCAACATTAACCACCATGCCACTTGACTGACCCTAAAACCTTTTTAAAAAATGTAAATTATACAGAATTTTAAAATATAAAAATTAGACTTGTCATTATCTAAATCTTGTCTCTCCATAGGTATTTCTTTGTATTTATATGTATATCTGTAAACACGTACAAATACACATTTATGTAGCTTTTAAAACTTCTTGTTTGAAAACATTGTTTGCCCTACTATTACATGAATTTGTTCATAATTTTGCTGTGTTTAAAAGTAGTCCTTTTGAAAAAAAAATAATAGTCCTAGTAGTTCTTTTGTTTTTTCAGCTACTAAACATTTTTATAGTTTATGGATAGTATTTTTCCTTTTATTTATCATTGGCAAGTTATTCCTCTATTATGGATTTATTCTCCTTTTCTCCTCAAGCACATTCTTTAGGCTTTTTTTTGTTTTTTGGGGGGTTTTTTGTTGTTGTTTTTGCCAGTAAGGGTTTCTACTTCTGTATGAAAACTTTTTTCATCCTTATTTTTTAGCTTTTTTTATTATTGATTTTGTTATTACAATATACCTGCTTAACCTTTCACAATCTACTCAAGAGTTAATATTTTATCACTTCGTGTTCTGTAAATACTTTTATTTTTAAATAATTATTTTATTTCATTTATTATCATTATTTTTTGTTTAATTTGACCAGAAAGAAAAAGAGGGAGAGAAAGGGAAAGTAGGAAAGCAAGGCTCCAGGTCCAGGACTCAAATCATGGTCGGCCATGCACCTTAACCACCACGCCACCTGCTGGCCCCTGTAAATACTTTTTGTAATTGTCATGTATCGTATCTACATACATTGATATCCCTGTCAGATAATGTTAAAACTTTAAAAAGAATTTTTTTTATTGAAAATATAAATTATAGGGAACCAGCAGTTAGCATAATGGCTATGTCGCTGGACTCCCATGTAGTCGACTGCGGTTCACGTCCCGGACCTGGTGGCTTAAAACCCATGCCGGGCACGTGTGCGTGCATGTCCAAAATCCCGAGAGGAGAATGGAGGAGAAGGGATTGCGGCGTGGCCAACCCCTCTGGGGGGTGATTTCTCACTTTCTGTCTCTCTGTCTGTCTCTGTCTGGTGAGCGCACACACCCTATAGTAAGAAAAAAAACCTCTCAAAAAAAAAAAAGAAAAAATATAAATTATATACTTTAAAAATTACCCATTAAAGTGTCCAAATTCAGGGCTTGTCCCATAGTCTAATGGTTAAGGAAATGTGATCCCACATGGTTGACTGCATGGTCAAGTCCCAGACCTGGCCACTTGAGAAACATACCAGGCAGGTGCGCATACCTGCCCCAAATCTCAAAAGGATAGAGAATTGGAAGAGAAGGGATTGCAGCATGACCGTGCCCTGTAGTGCCTGGATAGGGAACTTTCTCCTCTTCCTCTCTTTTTCTCTCTCTGGCAAGCACATGTGCCTTTTGACATATTAAAAAAAAATTTTTTAATAGTGTCTAAGTTCATTGGTTTTGGTATCCTCATAGAGTGTACAAATCATTACTATAGAATAAATTTAGCACATTTTTATCATGCTCTGTTCCCCCTTCCTGCTCCCTATTCCTAATCTACTTTGTGTCTTTGTAGATTTGCCTATTCTGGAGTTTTCATATAAATGTAATTCAATATATGCTGTTGTGACTTATTTCACTCAGCATAATATTTTCAATTTTTACCATATTATAGTGTATGTCAGTATTTCATTCTTATTTTATTGTTGAATAACCTTTCATTGAATCAGAATACCATGTTTATTCATCAGTTGATAGTCACTTAAGGTTTTACATTTTGCTATTATGAATAATGCTGCTATGAACATTCACATATGTTTTATGTGAATGTATGTTTTTATTTCCCTTGTGTTATATTTTGGAGTAGAATTGCTGAGCTGTATGCCAACTCTTATGTTTAACCTTTTGAGGGGCTGCTTAAATGATTTTCAAAGTAGCTGTACTACTCCCACAAGCAGTGTGAGAAGATTCTATTTTCTCTATATCCTCACTAATACTTGCTATCTTTTTTTCTTTTTTGGAATGGGGTTTGTACATGTGCCAGACAGAGAGAGAAGTCATTCCTAAAAATGGCCACACTATAATCACTTCTCCTCCAGTCTTAGGATTTAGGGTACACACCCCCACGTGCTCAGCGTGATTTTCAAGCCACCGAGTCTAGGACTCAAACCACGCAGTTGGTCACGTGGAATCCAGAGCTTTAACCTCCATGCCATCTGCTGGCCCTGTTACCTGTCTTTTTTATTCTAACCATCTTGATGGATGTGAAATAGTGTCTCGTTGTGCTTTTGGTTTGCATTTTCCTGATGGCTAATAATGTTGAGCATCTTTCTGAGTGTTTATTAGTTATTTATTTGTCATCTTTAAAGAACTATTTAGATCCTTTGCCTATTAAAAAAAAAAAAATCAGATGTGTACCCTAGCAGGAGAGACAGAGAGAGAAAGGGAAAATGAAAAAGCACGCCCCATGAAAAATGGTCATGTCACAATCCCTTCATCTCTCCCTTTTTGGGATTTTTGGCATGTACACACACATGCCCAGCATGTTTCCAAGGCACCAGGTCCTGGACTTGATCTGTGCAGTCGGTTGTGTAGGATCCAGTCACCTTAACCACCATATCATCAGCTGGCCTACCTTTTGCCCATTTCTTCTTCTTCTTTTTTTTAATCCCACTTTTTCTTTATTAACAATGTGACCTGATAAAATTTTTAAAAGTCTAGACTAGTTTTCCATTATGTTTTACCATTTCCAATTGGGATATTTGTCTTTTTATTATTGTCTTTAGAGAGTTTTTTTTTTTTAATATTCTAGATTCAAGTTCCTTGCCAGACATACAGCTGGCAAAAAATGTTTTCCCATTTTGTGGGAATAAATATTTTAAAGTGGAAAGAATTTTTAATATCACTTTTTAATCACATGTTTTGTTTCCTTATCTAAGATATATCCTTTGAAAATATCCAGTGGAGTGTAGATCCAGGAGCAGATCTTTCTCAGTATAAAATGGATATTACTGTAATAGATACAAAGGTAAGTTAAAGAGTAAAACCAAAGCCTTTTTGGTTCTTCCTCTAGTGAACATTAGTTTCCTTTTTTTGTTTTAATGCTAATGATAGCTTTTTTATTGTAGCAAATTGGAAGGAATATCTGGAGTGTCAGTAATCAAAGAATGCTTAAATATACTGCTATTAAATCTACTAAATGGAATGTTACCATTAAAATTAGGTGTATGATAGTTATGAAATAACATAGGAAAAGTCTTATGTTGAGTGCCAAAACCAAGATACTGAATTACATAGTATTTTTAGAGTATGGATAAAAAATAAACTAAAACTAAATATGCGTATATGTTCAACAAGTAATAATTTTTTTTTTGAGAGGTTTTTTGTTATAGGGCGCGTGCACTCGCCAGACAGACAGATACAGAAAGCGAGAAATTACTTCCTGGGGGGATGGCCATGCCGCAACCCCTTCTCCTCTGTACTCCTCTCGGGATCTTGGGCACACACACGTGCGCCCGGCGTGAGTTTAAGCCACCGGGTCCGGGACTTGAACCGCCGTCGACTACATGGGAGTCCAGCAACATAGCCATTATGCTAACTGCTGGTCCCAATTTTTTAAATGATTTATTGTCAATATTTTCTTTAAAGAATTATATGTACTTAATAATCTATTTTAAACAATGGCTATAAAGACTGCAGAGCAACACTAAGACGTCTTCATGATCTGGAGAATGTAAATGCATTTACACGCACAAATGGTTTACAACAGTATAATATTCTTTTTTAAGAAAATTTTTGCTACAGTAATGAATTTATAGTTGAATTGTATCTTACCAATAATCAAGTAATCTAGTATAGTATTGTAACAATAACATAAATGAAAAATATGAAGTAGTACATCAATGCATATATTCTTTGAGCAAAAAAATAAAAGTCTATGAAATACAAGGGGACTTCAAAAAGTTCATGGAGTAATGAAATTAAAAGTTTGTTTTGCTAAAAAAGTTTTTAAATCCATTCATATCTTTTTCGTAATAGTATTTTCCATGAACTCTTGAAAATCATCTCTGAGAGGAAGAAGCTTAGATCATTTTCTGTCTTCTCATGTTCAGAACTACAAGTCATTAACCAGCATTTACTTTCTCAACAAATGGAAAGTAGTTTGGCAATGATTTTGATGATTTTGACAAAAGCACAGGAAAGAGAGACAGTGTTTTTCAAATTTGTGAGAAGCAGTAAGTAGTTTAAACCCCTGGAGTGAGGAAGTGACAATAGATAATGATGCCACTTCCTAGCTCTAGAGTATTTTATATCCCATTTTCCATGGTCAGTCTTCCACAAACCTGGCCTGGGTCCCAGAAAAAAAAAACAACACACACAATCTTTCTACTTCTGTATTGGCCTGCAGTCCAACTAAGCAAAAGGAAAAGAATGCCTTGGGTCTCCTCTCTCATTAGTTTCCACTTCTGAGTCACTCTGTGACCTTGAAATAATCACATACCTCTAAACATCCATAATTAGTTATTCAGAAATTTTAAAATAAAACAGTAAAACGCAGCACTTGTGAAACTGACCCAGGTAGTAAGGTTCCTAGTTCTACATCCACAGGCCTTCCTGAGTATGCCAGGCCTGCATGTACCCACGATAGGGGGAGAGCTGAAGTTGGGGGTAGATTGTGACATCAAAACATTATTGGAAGTGCACTTTCTCTCTTATGGAAGAAATTAATGAACTTTAAAAAAAAAACTAAGAATTAAATATGCTCGTTCTTCTAACTTTGTGGTAGTCTTGTGCTTGATAATTACATTTCAGTTCATGATGGACTGCATGTATGACAGTAGTCCCAGAAGATTATAATAGGCTATACCATATAGCCCACGTGTACAGTAGCCTATACCATCTAGGTTTGTAGTTTTTAATTCAGTGATAAAATTACCCAACAATGCATTTCTTAGAATGTATTCCCATGGTTAGGCAACGCATGTCTGTTTTGGAAAGGGTAATAATACTTTCTGACATTAAAAATCTTTACTGAGGAGCTGACCTCCTAGCCTGATGGTTAAAGGAGCTACATTCAAATCCCAACCTTGGCAGCTTGAAAAACATGCTGGACACATTTGCATGCATGCCCAAAGTCTTGACAGGAAGGAGAAAAGAGAAAGAAGGGATTTAAGTATCACCAATATTCTTTGAGCCCTGCTTCCTTTATGAAAAACAATATAGTTTTGGGGCTGGCAGGTGGTAAAGGGCACTGGACTCCCACATGGCCCACTGCGGTTCAAGTGCCGAACCTGAAGGCTTGTTTTCTCACTTTCCCTCTCTCACACTGTCCCTCTCTGGTCAAATTTAAATAAATAAAGTTAAATAAAACAATTCTTTAAAAAAAAAAAAAAGTATCATCTTTAAAAAAAACAAACATTAGTTTTATAATAATGAATAATGCTAGTTCCTTATTCTTTCTTTATTTTTATCAAACTAATATATCATGCATCTTGAGTAGCTTTAAAGTAATATACCATTAAGAAAAAAATTCATTTTCCCAGTTGACTATTTTTTAAAATACTGTGTGTTCTTTTCAATTACTAGAGGGTACATGCACTTGCTAAAGAGAAACAAGCAGCAGACAGAGAGGAGGAGAGGGAGAAAGCATCCCCTGATGGGCATAGTCACTCCACAGTCCTTTCTTTTCCATTTCTCCTTCCTGCTGGGATTTTGGACATGTGCACATACAACCAGTGTATTTTTCAAGCTATGGAGGTTGCGCGGGTGTTAAAATGTTGGAACTAGCTCATTTAACCATTAAGTTATGGAGCCAGCTCCCTCCCCCCAGCCCCATTTATTTTTAATTAAAATTTATGTCCAATCACAGTGTAGGGTACCTCTGAACAGTACTAAAGCCATATGAGAATGCCAGATTTGGATCCTGATTAAATTGGGCATGCTGGGTACACCCACATGCACCTGTAATCTGGCTGACTGGGAGGTTGGGTGAGGATTACAGCATAGCAAAGACCTGTCAAGAGTACCTGTAATGCCCCCCACCATCACCTTGAAAGAAAATAATTTGTTTTAGAAACCAAAATTCATAGAGGAAATACTTTTTTGTCTTGTATCTAGGTTCTATGTAGTTTGAAAAGTTCTCTTTCACTTGGTAGCTTAGTAATAATAAAGTATTTAGCAGTTGCTAGGGTAACAAATAACCATCAAGAAATCCAATTTGATTTTGGTAATTGGAGAAGAAAGGCAAGAACATTTCAACAGAGGTCAATGGTAAGTGGCTCTTCCTTTCTTTGGTAGTAGTCTTTCTTTTTTCAGGTTTGAAAAAGGATGCTTATATAATGAAGCTAAAATATTTCATAGGCAGTAAAACCTTTATCTGTTCCTAAAATATAAAAGGAAATATAATTTATGCTTAAAAGTGCTAAAAATTTATATTACCTATATTTTACCAAAATTGTGTATAATAAGTAAATATAGGCCATAAAGGAAAAACTGGAATTTTAGGGTTTTTTATTAATGTTTATTTAGGATGGCAGTCAGTCAAGATTAGGAGGCGAGACAGTGGACGTGGACTGTACGTTGGTCAGTGAAACAGTGCTTTTAAAAATGAAGAACCAAGAACAGAAAGGAGAAAAAAGTCCAAGTAAGATTTGTTTTTTATCTTAATAAAAATGTGGAGTGAAGTTTTATAGTCATACTATTGTACTGATATACTAATGGCCTTTTCATTGTAAACCAAGGTTTTTTTTCCCAGCTCTGTGAATGTTATGTTCCCCTTAGGAAAGCTTATTTTCAGTAATTCAGAAAAAAGTCTTTCACCAAAATAATTGTATTTGTAAAAGGAATCATGTTACTTTTGGGGGGTCAGCAAACTATAGGTAGCTGTTTTTTGCGGGGGGAGAGGTTTTTGCTATAGGGCATGTGCACTTGCCAGAAAGACAGAGAGAGAGAGAAAGCGAGAAATCACACCCCAGAGGACATGGCCACGCCGCAGTCCTTTCTCCTCCATTCTCTCTGGATCTTAGGCACGCACACACACGTGCCTGGTGTGAGTTTTAACTCACCGGATCCAGGACTCAAACCGCAGTTGATTACATGGGAGTCCAGCGACATAGCCATTACGCCAACTGCTGTTCCCGGTTTTGTACATTTTTATTAGAGCACACCCTCATTCATTCATTTATATGGTTGTAGTTGCTTGCTTGATATAATGGTATAGCTGAGTATTTATTGCAAAGACCTTACAACTCCAAAAGCCTAAAATACATATCTACACCTGTAAGAAAGTTCCCTGATCCTTCATTTTGACCGTTTTTATAAAGGGATATAAAAAGGTCTCTTAAGAGTCCTGTGTTAGAATTATAATTTTCTAAAGCAATTTGATAAGGAAAGAAAGGGGGATTCTACTCAGTAGTTACTAATTAGATTTGCAGATTAGCACTAAGAATAATAGTGTATTTGTAGAGTTACTCTGCATGTTCTGCCACTACTGGTACAAGAATTTGGCCAGATTAGGAGTTTGTCTACAGCCCTTTATAGTGAGAAACTGTTAATTCTTCACCTAAAACTTCACTCTTCCAGGAGGTACAAACAATGGAAGGATTTGCGTTAGCTTAGCAGCATTCCTAACAATAGAGGACTTGACTGGAGAACAGCTAGACTCTAACCCTTATGTGCTGAAGGGTTAGAGTCTTCTACCCAAGGATGTAATGGTAAAAGCCAGGCATTTCCCAATGATCAGTTATTAGAAACTGAGGACATTCAGGCTGTATTTGTGTTTTCTGTTTCCTGCT